CGCAATTAGCGTGGTTAACCCTTAATTCGTCTTTCCGTTTGGAACGGCGCAGCGCTTGTTTTCTGAGGGAATAAAATGTTAGCAACGATTCCTAATGGATATACCCTCAAAACGAAAAGCACCTAGCTATTTATAGAGTATATGAGGGGATGATAATCGAAAAGTCGGCTTTTACATTTGTATCGATGTTGAATAATTGATGTTTAAACACATTCGTCTTTGTCGAAAGTGGAAAGCGTCCCATTGAAATATCACTTTAGTGGACAACGCTAAGTGATACCTAGAAATGGGTAATCAATCAAAAAAAAGTTGGTGTTGTTATCGTGGATATTGTAATGTATTGATTCGAGTAAGTTAATTTGAAATTATAGATACTTATTTTAATTAATTAAGCATTTTTAAGTAATAACACCAAAAATGTAAAAACGAATGCTGTTATAATCAATTTTCTATCACTAACATCACAAAAACTAAAAGATATTCTGAAAAATTGCTTCGTTTATTCCAAAGCTCACAATTTGTATTATAAAAGCTGATAATTTCGTAAGAAATTCTTTAAACTACGATTTACTATGACTTCTTGAAAATGATAGTTTATTTTCATACTGAAAAGTGCTTTAAAATGTTTGAAAATTAATATCTCAAGTAATATCTCAAAAGTAATACTTGCTTAACTCGTAAAATGGGTAAAAGTCGTCTTATGTTTAAAAGTTAATATCTCAAAAACTAAAGGATATTTTTAAAATCGGTTTCTTTCATTGGAAAGCTTATAATTTGTACAAAATGTGTTGATAATTTCATAATGATTTCTTAAATTTTCAATTTATTATGATTTTTTGAAAATGAGTGGTAATACTTGCTTAACTCGAAAAATGGGTAAAAGTCGTCTTATGTTTAAAAGTTAATACCTCAAAAACTAATCGGTATTTTTAAAATCGGTTTCTTTCATTGGAAAGCTTATAATTGGTATAATATATGCAGATAATTTCATAATGATTTCTTAAAATTTCAATGTAATATGATTTTTTGAAAATGAGTGGTAATATTTACTTAACTCGAAAAATGGGTAAATGTCGTGTTATGTTTAAAAATTAATGTCTCAAAAACTAAACGATATTTTAAAAATCAGTTTGTTTCATTGGAAAGCTTATAATTTGAATAATAAATGCTGATAATTTCATAATGATTTCTTAAATTTTCAATTTATTATGATTTTTTGAAAATGAGTGGTAATATTTGCTTAACTCGAAAAATGGGTGGATGTCGTCTTATGTTTAAAAGTTAATATCTCAAATATTAAACGATATTTTTGAAATCGGTTTCTTTCATTGGAAAGCTTATAATTTGTATAATAAGTGCTGATAATTTCATACTGATCTCTTAAAATTTCAATTTATTATGATTTTTTGAAAATGAGTGGTAATATTTGCTTAACTCGAAAAATGGGTAAATGTCGTCTTATATTTAAAAGTTAATATTTCAAATACTAAACGATATTTTTGAAATCGGTTTCTTTCATTGGAAAGCTTATAATTTGAATAATAAATGCTGATAATTTCATAATGATTTCTTTAATTTTCAAGTTATTATGATTTTTTGAAAATGAGTGATGACAGTTGCTTAACTCGAAAAATGGGTAAAAGTAGTCTTATGTTTAAAAATTAATATTTCAAACATTAAACGATATTTGTGAAATCGGTTTCTTTCATTGGAAAGCTTATAATTTGTATAATAAATGCTGATAATTTCATAATGATTTCTTAAAATTTCAATTTAATATGATTTTTTGAAAATGAGTGGTAATATTTGCTTAACTCGAAAATAGGTAAATGTCGTCTTATGTTTAAAAGTTAATATCTCAAAACCGAAACGATATTTTTAAAATCGTTTTTTTTCATTGGAAAGCTTATAATTTGTATAATAAGTGCTGATAATTTCATACCGATCTCTTAAAATTTCAATTTGTTATGATTTTTTGAAAATGAGTGAAGATAGTTGCTTATGTCGAAAAATGAGTAAATGTCGTCTTATGTTTAAAAATTAATGTCTCAAAAACTAAACGATATTTTAAAAATCGGTTTCTTTTATTGGAAAGCTTATAATTTGTGTAATAAGTGTTGATAATTTGATAATGATAGCTTAAAATTTCAATTTATTAAGATTTTTTGAAAATGAGTGATGACAGTTGCTTAACTCGAAAAATGGGTAAAAGTAGTCTTATGTTTAAATGTTAATATCTCAAAAACTAAATGATGTTTCTAAAATCGCTTTCTTTCATTAGAAAGCTTATAATTTGTATAATAAATGCTGATAATTGCATACTGATCTCTGAAAATTTCAATTTATTATGATCTTTTAAAAATGAGTGATGATAGTAGCTTAACTCGAAAAATGAGTAAATGTCGTCTGATGTTTAAAACTTAATATCTCAAAAACGAAGTGATATTTTTAAAATTGGTTTCTTTCATTGGAAAGCTAATAATTTGTATAATAAGTGCTGATAGTTTCATAATGATTTCTTAAAACTTCAATTTATTATAATTCTTTGAAAATGAGTGATGATACTTGCTTAACTCGTAAAATGGGTAAAAGTCGTCTTATGTTTAAAAGTTAATATCTCAAAAACTAAAGGATATTTTTAAAATCGGTTTCTTTCATTGGAAAGCTTATAATTTGTACAAAATGTGTTGATAATTTCATAATGATTTCTTAAATTTTCAATTTATTATGATTTTTTGAAAATGAGTGGTATATTTGCTTAACTCGAAAAATGGGTAAATGTTGTCTTATGTTTAAAAATTAATATTTCAAATATTAAACGATATTTTTAAAATCGGTTTCTTTTATTGAAAAGCTTATAATTTGTATAATAAATGCTGATAATTTCATAATGATTTCTTAAAATTTCAATTTATTATGATTTTTTGAAAATAAATGATGATTGTTGCTTAACTCGAAAAATGAGTAAATGTAGTCTTATGTTTAAAACTTAATATCTCAAAAACGAAACAAAATTTTTAAAATCGGTTTCTTTCATTAGAAAGTTGATAATTTGTATAATAGGTGCTGATAATTTCATAATGATTTCTTATAATTTCAATTTATTATGATTCTTTGAAAATGAGTGATGATAGTTGCTTATGTCGAAAAATGAGTAAATGTCGTCTTATGTGTTGTAAATTTTCCATTATTCATCAAGATTATATAACAAAAACTAATAAAACTTGTTATTTTGTACTTCTTGATTCCGGTTTATGTTTATTAAACCGTTATCAAGGTAATCACCACGTCAGTTATACTAAAAGATCAACAACATGAATGAACGAACACTGGACACTATAAACATCGACTTAGCTTAATATAAAAAATATTAACACATTAAAAATATTTAAGAAGGTTATTGTTACTTTTATCTATAATGGAGGGAAGCACCCAAGTTTCTCTCCATTATAGATAAAAGTAACAATAACCTTCTTAAACATTTTTAATGTGTTAATAATGTGCTCGTTCATTCATGTTGTTGATCTTTTAGTATAACTGACGTGATTACCTTTATAAAGGTTTAATAAACCGAAACCTGTAGCAATTAAAAACAAAATAAAAACCTCAACAAGTATTTTGTACTTCTTCAAGTTTTATTGGATTTTATTAATGTCGTCTTATGTTTAAAAGTTAATATCTCAAAATTCACGATATTTTAAATATCTGTTTCTTTAATTGTAAAGCTTATAAATTGTACAATAAGTAGTGATAGTTTCATACTGATTTCTTAAATTTTCAATTTATTATGATTTTTTGAAAATGAGTGATGATACTTGCTTAATTCGAAAAATGGGTAAATGTTGTCTGATGTTTAAAACTGAATATCTCCAAAACTAAACGATATTTTGAAAATCTGTTTTCGTCATTGGAAAGCTTATAGTTTATATAATAAGTTCTGATAGTTTCGTGATCATCTATCGATATTCCAATTTATTATGATTTTTTGAAAATGCGTAATGGTTGCTTAACTCGAAAAATGGGTAAATGTCATCTGATGTTTAAGACTTAATATCTCAAAAACTAAACGATATTTTCATAATCGGTTTCTTTCATTGGAAAGCTTATAATTTGAATAGTAAGTGCTTATAATTTCGTAATCATCTCTTGATGTTCGAATTTATTATGATTGTTTTTAAAAATAATTGCTTAAATCGAAAAATGAAAAAATGTCGTCTAATGCTTAATTGTTAATATCTCAAAAACGAAACGATATTTTTAAAATCGGTTTCTTCATTAAAAAGCTTATAGTTTGTATAATAAATGCTGATAATTTCATGATTTCTTAAAATTTCAATTTATTATGATTTTTTGAAAATAAATGATGATTGTTGCTTAACTCGAAAAATGGATAAAAGTTGTCTTATGTTTAAAACTTAATATCTTAAGATCTAACAGATATTTTTAAAATCGATTTGTTTCATTGGAAAGCTTCTAATTTGTATAATAAGTGCTGATAATTTTACACTGACTTCTTAAAATTTCAATTTATTATGATTTTTTGTAAATAAGTGATAATAGTTGCTTAACTCGAAAAATGGGTACCTAAATGTCGTCTTATGTTTAAATGTTAACATCTCAAAAACTAAACAATGTTTTTAAAATCGGTTTCTTTCATTGGAAAGCTTATAATATGTATAATAGGTGCTGATAATTTCTTACTGATTTCTGAAATTTTCAATTTATTATGATTTTTTGAAAATAAATGATAATTGTTGTTTAACTCGAAAAATGGATAAATGTTGTCTTATGTTTAAAACTTAATATCTTAAGAACCAACAGATATTTTTAAAATCGATTTCTTTCATTGGAAAGCTTATAATTTGTATAATAAGTTCTGATAATTTCTTACTGATTTGTTAAAATTTTAATTTATTATGATTTTTTGAAAATGAATGAAAATCTTTTCAAAACCCTTCACTTTCATAATCACAAATTAAAAATAATCCTTAATTAATTACCTTGTGCCTGCCTAAATTTTCCACATTACAAGTTAAAACGGCTTCTTTTCCAATAGCCACGGTGACATTTTCCATTGGGGTAGAAAATTCGGGTTCTAAACTCTTCATGATGAAACGATCATCTGAAAAGTTAATAATTAATAATTAAAATTAATAAGTATAACAAATTAGTAAAGTTTAAACAATATTTATTAAATAAAGTTTTAATAATTTCGTAAAATCGTATAAATTGTGAGATTTAAACATTGAGGGGTGTGAAATCATTTGTTCGCGTCAGAGTTCGCGGGGTTGATCGGGGTGGGAAATGTATCAATTAGCGCAGGTTGCATTAAAAACGGTCCATAATTAATACAGATAATGTGCGCGGCAGCCCGACTGCCCGGTCACCGTTTTAATTATTTTAACAATAATATATGGACGGGCCGTTAGCGTTTTCGGGTGACGTGAAGGGGGCCGAGTGATGTATGAGCGCCATGTTTCGTTACTGCATTAACGGCGACCGTAAACAATCACGCCAGTTGGAAATTTATAATCATACAAAACTAAATTTCCAACGGCACAAACGAATTTTCCGATACCGGAATCAAATTACTTTTAAAAAGAGTTCATTAACATTAACAAAATTATTGCCTAAATAAAGGAATATAATTTTCATTCTAATTTAAATGTAAATGAAGATGTAGATTTTTTTTTCTTAAGAAAAAATTTAGTGTTAATCTGATAAATAAATGTGATATCGTTTCTGTACCAACATATAATTACTCGTTTTGTTGACATTTCTTGAGCCTCGTTTTATGGAAATCAAAAGTGTTATTATAACTTTCTGTCACGATACGCACCACAGCACTGTGGTCCCCTTGTTTCCCTCCATTTTCCACTCGCCTAAGTACCCCATATTTATTACCCCTCTGCGCCTATTGCTGATGAATGTTTCATGACCGTATATCACATTCCAGTGAGTCCCTTGGCTCTGTCGCGCGGATTTACATCATCTTTCACTCCGTTTAAACGAAATGAGAAAGCAGAAAGGGGAAGGTAACTTGGAATAGATTTATTTCAATTTTTTAAGTAATAATAATTACAAAGTAAAGCCTGTATAGTTAACAATTAAGTATTACAAGGGTTCTTACACCATAATGCTTCACCAAAACCCTTCTGGTGGGGTTACTAAGAAGTACCCATCAATCACGGGGGCAACCCCTGTCGCTTCTCTTGTCTTAATTACCAAATCAGCGTGCAAAACCACGAGTTCACCCAACAAACAAGTACTGTGGGGGGACGGCGACCCTTCAGTATTGTCCCGTTGATAAAGCGTTCGGGGAGCTTTATCGGGTGAAGGGACATGGTATGGGGACGTATCCGGGGGGTTGATTCGAAGTGAGGTCAGAGTGGCAATTACCATCTGGACGAGGGAAGGAGCAAGGGGAGAAGTGATGGGAAACGCATCTCGGCGGCACTAACGCGAACTCCGGGACCTAATTCCCGCAACAAATGGCCGTGGGGACGTCGGACAATCATTTTTCGGCCGGCGAGGAAGCCTCCCGGCGCGTTCCGGACTTGTCCTAACTTGCGATGGGATAAGTTTTATGACAGTCTGTCGCGGTCGGCTTTCCTGCTGCTTAGTTTTCGGATCTTCGAGGTCGTAAGGTTAGGGAGTTTACAAGGAAGTAATTGGAGGGATCCTTTTTTAGGTTTTATCTTAGTGCTTTTTATTATCCTTAGTTGAGAAAATGAAATTTTTTTGGCTACTTTTAACTTAACCATTTCTTAACGATAGTTTTTCAAATTCGTGAAAAATCAAACTTTTATGATCACTTGATGAAATCCCAGTGATTTATAAAATAAAAGGTCCATGTAGGCAGCCCCCCGACATACCTAAAAATAAAAGATCTTTATGCTAAAGTATTATACTAGTTTTGTACCCTAATATACCACCAACGAAAAGTTTTGTACCCATACGATTTTTAATGCATAACGTTTTTTGTTATGCATTAAACACTACATGTTAGGCCCCGATATTTTTTGACAAAAACGAACCTTTTAGTACACTAAAATATTGTACTAGTTTTGTACCTTAATGTACCGGTGAAAACGGTTTCCGAGAAACAACCTCTTTTATAAAATATAACCAAAATAAACGATGAATGATCTTTATTTTATTTCAGTGCTACAAAATGTTTCAGGTGATAACCTCATCTTTCTTCAGGCACGACTAGAGAAAATAAAATGAGAAGAAAATTAAAATCAATTACAGAGACAAAGTGTCAGCATGACAAATCACATGTTGCGAAGAGAACTTAACATTACCAATAATTCTATAACAGTTCAGATCTAAAATAATCGTAATCTACCATTCTATTGTAATTATGTCTCACTACGTATTTAATTAATGCAAAATGGTTTGTCAATGGGCTTCCCCATATCGGGAATCTTGTCGAATATATACGTAGATCACCCAGAAAGAGAATTGTTTTCTAATAAATACAATTTATTCGTCTATAATAAAAAAAGGGGCCTATCCACGGTCAAGCATGCTTGTCATGCATGCTGTTCATGCCGTTTCTTACTTTCTCCATATACTATCATGCAAGCTTGTCATTCATTCATTTAATCCGTATCCTCGAAGGTGGTAAGTACTGATTATCGGTACATCTATAATGAGTGATATAGCTTGCGCTTTAATAATAATCGACGAGTTAAGCCGTAAAAAGAGATGACATAGGTATTGGTCGAAGCGTTGGTTTCTACAACGTAAAAAATTTTCGCATATCAAACTTTTAAAAGAATTAGAAGTTTCTTCGACAGAAGATTATAACAATTTCTTAAGAATGGATCTTGAATTATTTCACGATTTGCTGTTCAAGGTTAAGCCTTTCATTGAAAAACAAAATACACAGATGAGAGATTCTATTTCACCACAACTTCGGCTTTCTACCACGCTAAGATATTTGGCCAGTGGTGCAACTTATGAAGATTTAAAATTTTTGACAGCGATAGCTCCGCAAACAATAGGAAGAATTGTAATTGAAACATGCGAAGCGATTATTAGTACATTGAAGGGATATATGTATACAGGTACGTAAACAATTATTATCGTTAAAATTATTATCGTTTATTCATTATAACATCTTAATGATATTGAGTACTGCTTAATAAAGACGATATATCTGTATAACATGGTGTCTGCATTGGTTCATACATATATACGACGTAGTGGTTGAACTTGAGTCGTACGATGATGGGCTCAGGAAAGGCAATGGTGTGATTGATGGGGTAGGCGAAGGACCTAGTTTTGAAAGGCGACCATGATACAGAATGTCATCAATATGCTTCTTGGCATACAGTTGCTGCTCAACGGAATGTTTTCTATATTGCGACGCCCAAACTTTACCGAGCATTTCTGCCTCATCATTTACTGTACCTAAATGTTTAACCGCCTTTTTTAGAAATTCATTTCGTTCATTAGACAACTTTTGTTTCTTTGGACGTGATGGAGTTACTTGTGTTGATTCGGCTTCCAATGAATCTTCTGGTGCCTAAAAATACCATTTTAAAATTACGTTCATATGCCAAAAGATACAATTTTAAAAGTAAATTTAAATATACTTTGCAATTTCTAGATGCCAAGAAATGAAGAGGCCTGGAAAGAAATCGCATCAAATTTTAATAGCCGATGGAATTTCCCAAATTGCTTAGGTGCAATAGATGGTAAACATGTAGCGATTAAAAAACCAGCAAATTCAGGTAGCCACTATTTTAACTACAAAAAAACTCACAGCGTAGTGCTGATGTTGATAGCTGATGCAAACTACGAAATTATAATGGCGGATATTGGCTCAAATGGGAGTCTTTACCGCAACAAAATTTTATGAAAGACTTCAACAAAACAGATTAAAACTCCCAGATGCAATAGAACTACCAAATTTTCCAGAAAAGGTGCCATACGTATTTATAGCAGATGACGCTTTTCCTTTAAAAGAACATATAATGAAGCCATATAGCCGAAGGGCTTTAACATTGGAAGAGGACATTTGTAATTACAGGTTTTCCAGAGCTCGACGGATTGTTGAGAATATTTTCGGAATTTTGGCCTCAAGATTTCGAGTTTTATTAACTACGATAAATTTATCCCCCGAAAAAGTGGCTTGTTGTTACTTACATAATTATCTGAGTAAGAACCGGGGGCAAACATATAGGGAAGGAAATATACGTAATGAGAACACTCATTCTGGGGAGGAGTTACTACCCATAAATAACAACACAAATGCGCGAAATTCAACACTTTTTGCAAAAGAAGTAAGAGATAAATTTCGTACATATTTTAATACCGTTGGTGCAGTTCCATTTCAACAAACAGTATAATAATATAATTAGCACTTGTATTGGGATTTATAAAATAAAGTTTTTAATCATTAAAGGTTTGTGTTTATTTACTTACATCTTCTCCTTCTTCAATATCTAATGTTGATATGCCAACATCCGGTGTTTCTTGATCCCTAAGATAGTGTAGTTGATCAAAATACCATAAAGACGGAGTGTAAATATCTTTCGATGCGGCCCCTGATTTTTCGCTCATCTTCACCTTTTTTAACTCACGTCGATAGTTGGTTCGGATGGTATTTTTTTTTTCTTTAAAGTGTCCATAGTTGCATTTTCATCTTTTTCCTGATATTTTTTTAATAAAATATCATATCCCTTCGACCGTTCGTTTTTATCCTTGTATTTTTCGCTTTTAACCTTCCACAGTTCCTCATTATCTCTAAATATTTCAAAAAATTCCATCCAAAAGGACTTCTCGCTTCCACAAGCCATGTTGAAAGTGATGTTTACCTCACAAAGGTTACAGATGGAATGACAAAATGCATAACAGCATAGCCATCCACGTGCACGCTTGCTTGCAAGCCTGATGCCCCGCCCACAGAAAATCAAAACGGTTTGAATTCCGTCATGCCGAGGAAAGTGTCTCATGCAACCCCATCCACTGTCAATCTTGCATGACAGCTTCCGATGCTTGTCATGCATGCATGACCGTGGATAGGCCCCTTAAAGAAACCCTGCAAAACTCAGACCCCTACTCAATATTTTTAACAGTCTAAACCAGTTAGTCTTTACTACTGAAATG